AAATAAGCTAATCGGACATCATAAAACTCACGTCAAAATGACGTAATAGAACACATAAACTCACGTCAAAAAAACGTAATAGGACATCAACAAATTCAGCTAAAAAATGACGTAAAGACATCACAAAATCACGTACAAAAATAGACGTAATAGACATCAAAACTCACGTCAAAAATGGACGTAAATAGGACATCAATAAAACTCACGTCAAAAATGGGAAAGTAAATAGAACATCAATAAAACTCACGTCAAAAATAGACGTAAATAGGACATCAACAAGATTCACGTAAAAAATGGACGTAAATAGGACATCAACAAAACTCACGTCAAAAATGGACGTAAATAGGACATCAACAAAACTCACGTCAAAAATGGACGTAAATAGGACATCAATAAAACTCACGTCAAAAATGAACGTAAATAGAACATCAATAAAACTCACGTCAAAAATAGACGTAAATAGGACATCAACAAGATTCACGTAAAAAATGGACGTAAATAGGACATCAACAAAACTCACGTCAAAAATAGACGTAAATAGGACATCAACAAAACTCACGTCAAAAATGGACGTAAATAGGACATCAAAACTCACGTCAAAAATAGACGTAAATAGGACATCAATAAAACTCAAGTCAAAACATCAACATCCCAGCAGATCAGGCAGCCGCAACAATGCCTCCGTAACAAATTGTAATTCCAATAGCCACTTGAAAAACTGGATTGGTGCACTACTTGTTACCAAAGAAAATGAACCCCAAAGAACACAAAGACACAATACCGTGACTGGAACAACACACAAATAACCCGCACATAGGAGACTGAAGCTTACGACGACGTTTCGGTCCAACTTGGATCATTTACAAAGTGTGACTTGTGTAGATTAAAGCAAAGAGAAGACGATGCCCTTAATCTGCAGTCATCAGTGTTTCCAACAGTGTCACCCAGTACAATGGTTTCTACAACTTAGCTAACTTAGCTCATTCTCTGGTCATAAAGTTACGTCGATACTGAATCAATATGACTCTACGTGTACCTAAATTGCTCTTTACCTCAACTCTACTGATTATTTATAGGTTCTCACATTCTTACCAAGTTTGTAAAGACCTAATCAAGCTCCTTCACGGGCGAAACGTTGTTTATAATTGATTTTTGTCTATTTCTCATCAAGGTGTATCAACAGACACATAATACACACACACACACACACACACACAGTAGCGATCAGTGAAGAGGCGGGGCCAGGAGCTCGGACTCGACCCCCGCAACCTCAACTAGGTGAGTACAACCTCAACTAGGTGAGTACACACACACACACACACACACACACACACGCACACACACACTAAAAATCAGGTGTGTACTCTTCCAGTCCTCTCAGTTGTAATTATATTAAGTACTAAACTAACTCTTGTTTAGTCATTAAACACAGAATGGTAAAGACTTTATCCTCCGTCTGTTAATCAACAGACAAACACACTTCTCTCGTAAAATAAATGACTTTCGTCCCACTATTCAAACGCTCCCAAGAACGGATAAACTAGACACGTGTTCAACGCTTGGGAACGTTTTTGTGAAACGTTTTGCCCACCAGGAACGTTTTACCCATCAGGAACGTTGTACCCACCAGGAACGTTATGCCCACCAGGAACGTTATGCCCACCAGGAACGTTTTCAATCCAGTGTATTGAAAGCTCCTGCTGAGAAAAAACGTTTATATTTAAAACTTCCAAACGTTATACGTGTTTGCGATTAACACATCTGACTTAATCAAGTTAATACATCTGCCAGCGGAAGGCCTCGGTCAGATGATCAAAAGTTCCAGCTGTCGGTCATCATATGACTAAGACCCGCGTCAGGAAACACATGTTGCGCATGTGTTTCAATTTTCAGGAGAGATACTATGTAAGCCATTAGCGAGATAGATGGACAACTACAAGCATAGCAGCAGCCTTCAGAGAAGACAGACTTAGGAATACTGCATATTCCTTTAATAATAATAATAATAATAATAATAATAATAATAATAATAATAATAATAATAATAATAATAATAATAATAATAATAATAATAATATGCTTATTTTTACAAGTACATGTACAAGGTATACAGTCCTACTGACATCAATGACATACTACTATATAGAAAGCCACTTGTTATGCAGAACATTGCGGGTAAATAGGTCAGTTTTGTTCCAGGATGCGACCCACACCTGTCGACTAACACCCAGGTACCCATTTAACTGATGAGGAACATAGATAACCGGTGTAAGGAAACACATCCAATGTTTCTACCCTAGCCGAGAATCGAACCCGGACAGGTCACCATGTGAAGCGAGAGATTTGTCTCCTGACCACGGGGCACTAGAACACAGCAGACACGGTCCCTCACTGTACCAAAATAAACGAAATTAGTAACCAGGCTGTCGTGACCGGGAGGGTCCTTAAGTGACCAACAGACTACCTAACAAAGGTCAGAGTGACAGTATTAGAGATATATACAGGAGATAATTAGCAAGTGTATAGCTCTGCTTGTTATACAGACACTCATACATACACAGAAAACACGTAATGAGCGTGTATGTAACTGGCACTGACAAGGAGTGATGCTATTACCTACTGACATGATGATCCCAGCACATCAATTACCCTCACATGAAATTAACAGCAATTACAACTGCGTCAGCCTCCTGTCAATCACCCATCATATCAAGCTTGTGTATGTCTGGGCGTCTCTGTCTGTTCCAGCTACCTACAGGTAAATTATTGCAAAGCAATTAAAATAACCCTATCTAATGCATAATTTGTTTAATAAATGCACCTGTGACCTGTTTCGGCTCACCACTGTGATGCAGATGCTTATTACATATCTGATAATTTATTATATTCTAATAATTGAATATAATCTGTTATAATTTCCATGGGGAAGTGGAGAAGAATCCTTCCTCCGTAAGCCATGCGTGTCGTAAGAGGCGACTAAAATGCTGGGAGCAAGAGGCTAGTAACCCCTGCTGTATAAATTACTAAATGTAAAAAGGAAAACACTCTCCTTTCTTCTTTTTCTCGGGTCACCCTGCCTCGGTGGGAGACGGCAGGCATGCTAAAAAAAGAGAATCTGTTATGACAGTATTATATACCTTACCAACCAACACATTAAAGAAATATTAAGCAATGATTTACATACGTAGACATGAGGGGTTAAAAGCTGCATTTATCAAACGTTTGCATCAGTACTATCAGCAGCAAGATAGAGCTTAACGATATGAGAATACGTTGACAGGCTCTTAATTAAAGAAGCACTTAACGATCTGAGCGTAAGTGGGAATTTTCTCAATAAACGAAGCACTTGAGAAGTGAGTGTAAATATAGAGGATCTCGGTGAATCATTTATATAAGTAAGACACCCCGTTTGCTGTTCCATATGTTTATAAATGGCTTAGAAAACATACATGTTGAGCAACATTTGGAAAAGTTTCGCCAGCCAGTGACTTCTTCAGTCCAATGTAGAGAAAGGTGGAAGATGAAGAGGTGGAGTTTGAGGTAATCAGTCCCTCAGCCTGAAGTTGATGCGAAACGTTACCAGAATAAAGATTCTCAAACGTCGGTATGTTTATTGCCTTCGATTCTTTTCTTAGCGCGACGTTTCGCCTGCACAGCCGGCTTCTACAGCAGAAATACGGAGACAGTAGAAGTCTTGGACATGCAGATATGAGGTGATCAGTCCCTCAGCCTGGGGAAGAAGTAAGTTTTCAGGTGGTCAGTCCCTTAGTCTAGATGTGGGTTCAGTTTCAAGGCCTCGATGGTTGTGAAGCCGAGGCATGAGAAAGCAACAGTCATTAATAAACCACGGAATGGGTGGGAATCGAACCCATGGCGAGTGAGTCCTAACATAATGACTAACCCAAGCTTTGAGTGTGAGAGTGAAGATCCTCAACGAATCACTCAAGACTTGAGTGTGAGAGTGAAGGCTCTCACTCAACGAACTACTCAAGACTTGAGTGTAAGAGTGTAGGTTCTCACTCAACGAATCACTCAAGACTTGAGTGTGAGAGTGAAGGTTCTCACTCAACGATATGAGTGAAGGTGTGAAAGTTAACAATTAAAGCAGCACTCTCTATTAGACAATGAAGCCTTTAAATAACACAAAGGCACAATACCGTGACTGGAACAATACCCAAGTAACCCGCACATGGGAGAGAGGAGCTCACGACGACGCTTCGGTCCGACATGGACCAGTGTGACTTTGTAAATGGTCCAAGTCGGACCGAAACGTCGTTATAAGCTTCTCTCTCCTATGTGCAGGTTATTGGAATAAAGCCGATAATTTCATACATATATTTTAGTTGTTTATTTTTTACACTGAGAGATGTAATTTAGGCAATAATGATATTTTCTAATTAATAAAATGAATTGTAGCCTTAATGACCTTCGTGCAGTAGATAGGTTTTAAACCTAACAAACTAATCTATTGCTTAATGATGTGTATAGGTAAGTGTGCGAGGGGCTTTGACTTCCAGCAAGCGTGAGCGTGTTAGGAGTGAGTGGAGGCGAATGGTTTTTAGGACTTGACGTGCTGTTGGAGTGATTCCGGAAAACCAGTTAGCCGGCCTTGAGTCCTGGACGTGGGAATAACCAGTCCACAGCAGGATTCGAACCTGCACACTCTGCATCAAGGCTCACAGTACTTTGATACACAATGTGCAGGTTCGAATCCTGCTGTGGACTGAGAGATAATGTATGTTACTATGTATGATAATTTGTGTTACAGTATTTATGTGTACCTGTGCCTAAATAAACTCAGGTACTTACTAGCACCTCTACTCCGGAAATCGTACCTGTGGAGGCGATGATGATGGACAGGAAGCTCTTAACCTCTCATATTTACGTTTTATCTCTGTGATAAAGTATTTTTTCACGCCTCTTCAACCCTGACGGCGTATCTGTGATAAGTCAAGTATATATATATCTGAACTCGCAACATAGGCAGCATTGAGACCCAAGCCACGTTATGGGTAAGATATATTTATGACTTATTAAGGTGATTTTATTGAAATAGTTTTATATATTTTCAGTTAATCTTTAAGCTAATCATGTTAGTTAATACTTAGCATGTTAAAGACAACATTTCTGACAAATGTAAGATGGTGTTTCAATATAATTAAAATTAGGTTAAGTACTATTGACATATTTCTCACTCTGCCATTTTGAAGTTTAAATTACTCTGAGATACGATTCATTTTTATAAGAGGCTTTCGCAAACTTGTCAGTGGAAATTTTTGCATGATATTTAAAAGTTAGGTCACTCCTGGGAGCCATGTCACTCCTGGGAGTCATGTCACTCCTGGGAGTCATGTCACTCCTGGGAGTCATGTCACTCCTGGGAGTCATGTCACTCCTGGGAGCCATGTCACTCCTGGGAGTCATGTCACTCCTGGGAGTCATGTCACTCCTGGGAGTCAGGTCACTCCTGGGAGTCAGGTCACTCTTGGGAGTCAGGTCACTCCTGGGAGTCAGGTCACTTGTGGAAATCAAGTCACCCTTGGAAGTGAGGCCAATTCTGGAAATCAGGGCACTTGTAAGTAGGGTCATCCTCTGCACCAAATAGATAAATAATAATAATAATAATAATAATAATAATAATAATAATAATAATAATAATAATAATAATAATAATAATAACAATAATAAAATAATAAAATAATAATAATAATAATAATAATAATAATAATAATAATAATAATAGTAATGATAATAATAATAGCAAGAACAATATACGAACTTGAGAAACATCATTATGAGAAAAAGCTGGTTCATCGCGACCACCTCAAACACAACAAATCTAGTTAGCTTATGCATAAATTCCTTTCTAGTATACTATATTCTTTCATTAATTATACCAGCAACAACAACGACAGAGTCTGACAAACCATCTCTGATACCTGTAGTAACGCGTGACTCAGAGCTTGGGTATGATGGGTGAAGGCAAGATCTGTTATCTTCAGAGATGGTGTCTCCCTCCAGGCTATCATTAGTGTTTTTGGGTTCTTATCGTGTCTGTACGTTCCTTATTTTAGATATTTTTTTGTAAATGATTATTTTTATGCTTTTTGTTTTAAGTAATGAGTCAAAAATGTTGACATAGCAGTAGGTGAATATCAGTTTTTGTAGTATTCAGTCCACTTGATGACCCGTGTTTCTTGAATGTGTAAACAAAATACTAGACTCCTTTTCTTCCGTATTGAAATACCGAAAAGTTGATAAATAAGACACATGTGCAACACCTAGGTATTCCACTATAGAAATCTGTCTTTTTTTTTTTTTTATTCACCGGTATTCTCCCGGCCCGGGTCTTTTCCAAGTAGTGGTGACCCGGCCTTGGCTCCCTATCTGGGGAGTGTCTCGAGACTTAAGTCTCCCATGGGAGGAGGGACAAGTACCTCCTCATCTTTGGGACCAAGTGTCCCCAGGCCTAGCCACATTCCCCGCCCTCACGGGGCTCGTAGGGAGAAGCTAGGCCTCTGGTCTGCCATCTACCCCGCCTCGAAGGGGCTCGTGGGGATGGCAGCCTTATTAGAAATCTGTCGTGAAGCGAAACTTCTCGGCTTGGCATCATAAAGACACGTAATATACATGTGTTACGTCCGCCACCTGGATTCTTCGTCTTACCTGATAGAACCGTTGTTTGAGGGAAGAAATGTTAATACTGACGCTCTTATAAAAATATTATGGCAGAATAGAAATATTTAATTAGACAAAGCTTAGCCAGGAAACCGAACTTTTTTTTTTTTAATGTTTATCATATGGGGAGAAATGGTGTAAAATATCGACCGGATGGATATAAGGGACACAAATGCTGGATAATTCGATACTTTATCGGCTTTACGAGCACACGATGAGCTTTACCAAGACACAAACGGATCTGTTTGTGACTTGATAAAGCCCACTGTATGAGCGAAACGTTGCCAATAAAGGGTCGAATTATACTGCCTTTGTGTCTCCTTTTCCCACCCATCCATAGAATAGAAAAAGTTTGGTCTCCAAGAGAAACGTCGTCTCAATAGAGATCTCCACTCTGCTACCGTGTATTACCATAGGAGTCATTTTTGTTGCAGGAAGCATACCTCTAGTTAAATTACGGAACGGGTGGGATTCGAATCCATGCTGAGTCCCAGGTCAGTGCGTTAACGCATTGGCCTGTGAGATTTTAGGACTCACTAGGCTTCAAAACTCACTCGTTCCCTGATTGTTTGCAATCGTGTTATTACGATTTCGTGATTCATACCTCTAGGTCTTGATAAGTCCGTCCTTGATAAACCTGTGGGAACTGAGAACGAGGAATGATGCACACGAGAATCTTGATTCTGTAACCTTTCCTGATGAGTAGAGGTTGTGTTAGTGTCGCGAAATTAAAGCATTTTTTTTTGGTTGAAGAACAGAATACCAGTCACTATTTATTATATCTTCCACAGAAATGTGTTGGTGTGTACCTCGAGTCGTTGCTGTGGTGGTGTTGATGGTGTTACTACGTCATGGAGGCGGCTGCCAGGTGCTTCATGACACACAACAACCTTCCAGCCATCCCGCTGGAAGGTTTAACAAGACTGTTCCAGCTACTGTGTCAAGCGCCAATATTCATGATGAGAACGCTTGGACTTCTCGGATCAGTACACGAATATCTGCCATTAAGCATAATTATTTACCAGAGTATAAACCAGGACAAGAGGATAATAATAAGAATTCTAAGGCTGTTCCAGCCTCTGACCCACGTCTCAGTTTCCAAAGTTTGCAGTCAGATAACACCGAGAATTCACGAATAAATACGCAAATATCTACCACTGAAGCTAAAGATTCGTCATCACCTGAGTATCAAATAAATCAAAATGCGAATGATGAAATTAGAAGCAAAGATGCAAGATTTCCAGAGGTGCGTGACTTTGTGGATAAGATATTAGATGCTAGAGAGACTGAACCTGAACACACGAAACTCTCCGGTAAAAATATGATCAGTCACGAAAATCCACCTGAAATGTCTAATACAGGAGACGAGTGTAACGAAATTTGTTGTATCATAAACAGTATCATCATCAGCGCCAATATTCATCTCTCTCTGTTTAATGACTACAAAGAGGATTTTGTAAGTATATATTTTGCTATTCCGTAAAGGGTTTAAATACCCTCTTGGAATCACTGAGATACATTCATTATTCTTTTCTTGTTGTTGCTGTTATTGTTGTTGTTGTTGCTGTTATTGTTGGTGTTATTGTTGCTGTTATTGTTGCTGTTATTGTTGCTGTTGTTGTTGCTGTTGTTGTTGCTGTTGTTTGTTTGTTGTTTTGCTGTTTTATTGTTGCTGTTTTGTTGCTGTTGTTGTTGCTGTTGCTGTTGTTGTTGTTGTTGTTGTTGTTGCTGTTGTTGTTGTTGTTGCTCTTGGTAATGTCACTCTGTAAATATTAATTTTAATATCAAAGGGACGTGGAGGGGTAAGCCAGCGGAAGGCTTCGGTCAGATAACCAAAGGCTCCAGCCGCGGGTCATCCTATGACTAAGACCCGCGTCAGGAAATGTTTGCCCTGTTTCCTGACGCATCTTACCTAACCTGTTCTAACTCTAAACTGACTAGATTCGTATCTTCGTAAAGTAAAGGTTGAGGTTATTATTGGGCAGTATACGACCGCTTCCGAAGAGGTCTTGTGACCAGTATCAGGGATGTCCTTATCAGGTGCATGAAGCAATAACAAACAGTCAGAAATACGCCAAAATTATCATATAAATTTTATAAGTAATCATAATGATGTTGGGTCATCTGAGATGACCAGTAGACGAGAGGTTGATATTATTCTAATTATTATTATTATTATTACTATTATTATTATTATTATTAGTGGTAGTAGTAATAATAATAATAATAATAGCATTACTATTAATAATAATAATAATAATAATAATAATAATAATAATAATAATAATAATAATAATATTATTATTATTATTATTATTATTATTATTATTATTATATTATTAATCTGTCATAGAAGATGTTGTAGCAGGATCTTTCTTTGACATTATTGGGTTATGTTAAGTGATTTACACTTATGTTACAGTGTGAAACAATTGTAAAAATTTAAACTTGAATGTACCTAAACAACCTGACATTCATACATACTAACTTACTCACGAATTCATGATAACACGATTGTAAACAAACCACGGAACGGGTGAAGTTTGAACCCATTTTCTGAAGTTTTACGATTCACTCGTCATGGATTTAGATCCCGCTTTTACTTACAAACACCACCATCTCGCCTTTCAGGCTATGGCTAAGTTCTCCCAGAGTTGGGATGAGATATCCTCGTTCATCTCAGATAACTACAGCATCCCTCCGGCTATCCCTCCCATGCCGGAGATAATAGACGTGAGGCAGCAGATGGTACAGGTGTATGGCCAGCTGCAGCAGCACCTGCTGGGCTTCGAGAATGCCACCCTTGACCAGTTAGACTTCACAAGACCCAGCGAAGCCTCTCGCATGAAGACAACAACAATCACAAGTCCTAACTTCCTTCAGAACCTGACTGATACAAGTAAGACTGTGTTCACTTTCTATTAGGAAATATAAACTTGCAGTAAATAAGCGTGGTTAATCTGAAGCCGATCGAATGAGACATTCTCGAGGTGTGAACGAAAGTAAAGATGGATGTAGAGGCGTAGTGCAGATAGAGGCCTACCTAGCATGGGACAGTAGGCCTACTTTAATGTTCTTCCAGTCTTGTCCTTTTATATTTGGATGCAAAATGTAATACGCAGAAAAAAATTTAAATGCCACTATATTTGCCTCTAAAGCTTTATCTAGCAAATAAAGCTTTGTCTAATTAATAAAGCTTTAGTTAGTTAGTTTAATATGTTTATTATGCACCCCATACCCATCCTGTGGGCGGTAGTCAAGCTTTATTAGCTTTATCAAGCTAATAAAGCAACACATGGGTTTCTGAACTGTGAAGACGTACCGGTAACCAGTGGCTTTATCAACCCAGTGAAGAATATCGTAGAGGCTGTGGGTCAATAAAGACACTGGTTAACGATGCACTTCTACAGTAAAGACACATATGGCGCACATGTGTCTTAGTCCTCTGCTTGTCAGTCTTATAACTCATTATTAATTAATATTTTGTTTTTATACCCGTTCAGTAATGATCACACATATTACAGACGACTAAACCTTGTTACATTATTTACAAAGATCGCACATGCTACATACTTTGTTTACAAAGATCGCACATGCTACATACTTTGTTTACAAAGAGGAAAAATTAACACAGCGTCATCCCTCTCCACAGTCAACAACATTAACCAACTGCTCATCTACGTGAGGAACGGTATGGACAAGCTCGATGTGGTTCCTGAAGAGAGCCTCACTCAGGAGCTCACCCGGGAGGTGTATCAGACGTCAGACAGCATCAGGAAAGATGTGATAGACTTCATCATCCTCAGAAATTACGAGAGAGGACTGAGGTACATCATCGATGTCTTCACGGCAGCACACTCCAACAACTGCGCGAGTACGTCCTCTTAGATCCATGGGATGAATCACGTACATCACTGATTGAGTGCACGTGTTGATGAATTAGACACGTACAACACCTGGGTGTTTTTATTTTGAAGATATTTCAACATCAAGAGACTTCTTTTTACGGTTCAACGAGGAACATATTAACCTGAGACAGTAAAAAATGAGGTAATCAGTCCCTCAGCCCTGAAGACTGAGGGACTGATTACCTCCTCAATTACCTTAGGGACTGATTACCTCCTAGTGAAGTGAAAAAAGAACACTGGTTGGCTAAGTCTTCAAAATCAAGATACCCAAGTGTTACACATATATCTAATGGGTCAATCTGTCGGTATTAAGTGCCATTGATATTATGATAAGTGTACAGGTGGCTGAGGAAGGCCACAGAGATATCTGCAGACTCACTGCATCAACCACAAGCGTAAGATGCCTATTGGTGCACTCTGCCATTTTAAAGTTTTATATGGAGAAAACAGGAAAACCCGTATGAGTTACACATTGCCTGGAAAATGAGAAGTAATCAAAATCAGGTTTGATTCGAGAAAAGGGAGGAAAAGTAGTTCCAATTCCTTGAGTCAAGAGGTCTTCACAAGCATTAAAACAGTTACGTGGCCATAGTCCAGTGAGTTACAACACCTACACAAAAGGCAGCACAATGGCGTCGTAGATAAACAAACCTTCTAGCCTACTCCACGACTCTGTCACCGTCATAACTTATGTTACACTAATATATTTTGAAGAGGTAATTTATTCGTGTGTATTAAATATTGTATTAAGTAAACTGGATTAAATGAAGGCTTGTTTTTATTATGTATTGTGTCTACCCTTAAGAATACTTTAAGTATGACCAGGAGAAAGATTTGAAGAAAATAATATACATAAACTGACAGACACGTATGCCGAGCAGTCGAGCTATAAACCGAGATGCATGTCTCTCATTCTATATATACTGAGAGATATGTCTCACAGTGTGTATACACTGTGAATTTATTTTAATCTCAGTATTTGTGACTGAAGTATTCCTGACTGGTGAGGACTAAGTTATAAGCGGCCTTAATAACACTCACGTAGTCGACAGACTTTAAACTCCCATTAACCAATTAATCTGCCACTCAATTTGAATATAGCTGGAGGAGTGTGTATTCTGTGGTCCTGTGGGTTAGAGCGTCGTGTGACTCACAAAATCGTAATGACACGATTGCAAACAAACCATACCATCCGTGGTATGGTTGGTTTTTTCAGCGTCATGTGATTTCCACTTACCATGAGGGTTGTACATTAGTCTGTCATAAATGTATCGTAATTAATTATATTTACTGTTTAAGGAATTACCTGAAGCTTCGCTCATTCCTTGAAGAAATAAAGTAGGTTTATGGAAGAATTATTTTAATAATGACAGAGAGCCTTCTGCTTCACTATCATTGCCTTATACACCTAGATAATACACGATAATGCTTAATTTAGATAGAAGTGGATAGTTTTTCTCAGCAGATAGCCTGAGTGAAGACTTACAAGTCCTCTGCTGTCTGTGTTTTCCATGTACTCTCTCTCTCTCTCTCTCTCTGTCTATCTCTGTCTCCTACTTTACTACTATTGCATCAGATATCTTGGATAATACTCTATGGTTCTTAATCTAGATAGAAATAGACAGTTCTTCTCGGTACACAGCCTCAGTGTGGACTCAAAGGTCCTCTACCTTCTGGTTTTCCCATGTACTCTCATGAACACCCATCTACGCTTTTGTACTCCCATGTATTCTCGTTTACAAATCTAACATTACAACCAGACACTGCTAAAATTTCAATAACCTAAAATAATCTACCCTACCTATCTAAGAGTTTGAATGAGTGTTGCAGTGTTTTGCTACAAGTGACGAGGCTTGTGTTGCAGTAGTTGTCCAACGACCCTTGTTTCCAGTGTGTTTCTTTTCTACTTGTACTGCCTATTATTTTCACGGCATTCTGTAGGCTCGAGCCTCCAGTCTCAAAGTCGGGAGTTCAGACTGTCTTAACCCGGCTGTGGCGTCGAGTGTAGATCACGGTAGAGGCACTATGCTAGTGTACCATATGTATGCTCACTAAAAAGTAATGATCATATTATAATGATCACATTACAATGATCACTTTATAATGATCGTATTATAATGCTCATATTATAATGATCAAATTATAATGCTCATATTATAATGATCACATTATACTGATCACATGATCATATAATAATCACATTATAATGATCACATGATCATATAATGATCACATTATAATGATCACATGATCATATAATGATCACATGATCATATAATGATCACATTATAATGGTAATATAATGATTACATTATAATGATCACATTATAATAACCATATTATAATGATCACATTATAATGATTACATTATAAAGATCACATTATAATGATCACATTAAAATGATCATATAATGATCACATAATGATTATATAATGATCACATTATGATCATATAATGATCACATTATAATGATCACATTATAATAACCACATTATAATGATCACATTATAATAATCACATTATAATGATCACATTATAATGATCACATTAATATCAAAATGATCACATTAAAATAATAAAATCACATTATAATATCACATTATAATAATCACATTATAATGATCACATTATAATAGATCACATTATAATAATCACATTATAATAATCACATTATAATAATCACATTATAATAATCACATTATAATGATCACATTATAATAATCACATTATAATAATCACATTATAATAATGATCACATTATAATAATCACATTATAATGATCACATTATAATAATCACATTATAATAATCACATTATAATGATCACATTATAATAATCACATTATAATAATCACATTATAATGATCACATTATAATAATCACATTATAACTGCTCAGACTGACCTTTCAAACCTGACGGACTGATCACGTCACAACTAACTTTATTTCTCTCTCCAGTGTAATATTCGTCTGCATTAGACTGAAGAAGCCTGCTATGCAGGCGAAACGTTTCGGCAATGAAGATACCTAAGTGTGGCGCATGTGTCTTATTTAACAAAAGAATTTACCATGTAATTACGGGGTTAATGATAATTACGGGGTTAATGATAATTACGGGGTTAATGATAATTACGGGGTTAATGATAATTACGGTGTTAATGATAATTACGGGGTTAATGATAATTACGGGGTTAATGATAATTACGGGGTTAATGATAATTACGGGGTTAATGATCATTACGGGGTTAATGATAATTACGGGGTTAATGATAATTACGGGGTTAATGATAATTACGGGGTTAATGATAATTACGGGGTTAATGATAATTACGGGGTTAATGATAATTACGGGGTTAATGATAATTACGGGGTTAATGATAATTACGGGGTTAATGATAATTACGAGGTTAATGATAATTACGGGGTTAATGATAATTACGGGGTTAATGATAATTACGGGGTTAATGATAATTACGGGGTTGATAATTACGGGGCTAATGATAATTACGGGGTTAATGATAATTACGGGGTTGATAATTACGGGGTTAATGATAATTACGGGGTTAATGATAATTACGGGGTTAATGATAATTACGGGGTTAATGATAATTACGAGGTTAATGATAATTACGGGGTTAATGATAATTACGGGGTTAATGATAATTACGGGGTTAATGATAATTACGGGGTTGATAATTACGGGGCTAATGATAATTACGGGGTTAATGATAATTGCATGTGATGGTGCAGGCTCCTGCCTCCCACGCTCCATGAAATTAAATAATAAATTTTAACCCAGTACATGTGAAGTTAATTACCACTTTGTATACATTCATTAATGTTTCTTATAAGCCTAAAATACTTTGTAAAATCAACGAATTATGTACATATATTTTTAATAAATAAACTCCCCTCGCGTTGTAATTAAAAAAAATAGGAAAATGAAGAATATAGAATATGAAGAATATAGGAAAATGAGGAATATAGGAAAATGAGGAATATAGGAAAATGAGGAATATAGGAAAATGAGGAATATAGGAAAATGAGGAATATAGGAAAATGAGGAATATAGGAAAATGAGGAATATAGAATATGAAGAATATAGGAAAATGAGGAATATAGGAAAATGAGGAATATAGGAAAATGAGGAATATAGGAAAATGAGGAATATAGGAAAATGAGGAATATAGGAAAATGAGAAATATAGAATATGAAGAATATAGGAAAATGAGGAATATAGGAAAATGAGGAATATAGGAAATGAGGAATATACGAAAATGAGGATATAGGAAATGAGGAAATAGAATATGAAGAATATAGGAAAATGAGGAATATAGGAAAATGAGGAATATAGGGAAAATGAGGAATATAGAAAATGAGGAATATAGGAAAATGAGGAATATAGGAAAATGAGGAATATAGGAAAATGAGGAATATAGATATGAAGAATATAGGAAAATGAGGAATATAGGAAAATGAGGAATATAGGAAAATGAGGAAATATAGGAAATGAGGAATATAGGAAAATGAGGAATATAGGAAAATGAGGAATATAGGAAAATGAGAAATATAGAATATGAAGAATATAGGAAAATGAGGAATATAGGAAAATGAGGAATATAGGAAAATGAGGAATATACGAAAATGAGGAATATAGGAAATGAGGAATATAGAATATGAAGAATATAGGAAAATGAGGAATATAAGAAAATGAGGAATATAGGAAAATGAGGAATATAGGAAAATGAGGAATATAGGAAAATGAGGAATATAGAAAAATGAGGAATATAGGAAAATGAGGAATATAGAATATGAAGAATATAGGAAAATGAGGAATATAGGAAAATGAGGAATATAGAATATGAAGAATATAGGAAAATGAAGAATATAGGAAAATGAAGAATATAGGAAAATGAGGAATATAGGAAAATGAGGAATATAGGAAAATGAGGAATATAGGAAAATGAAGAATATAGGAAAATGAGGAATATAGGAAAATGAAGAATATAGGAATATGAAGAATATAGGAAAATCACCAGTAGGTATTTATGCCTAGAAAATAATTGATTTAGAAAACACGCTGGCGCTGTAAAGCCTCACGGGATGACAATACTGTGTACCTTTGATATTCCTTTGATGAGTTTCAAGAGTCTTTATACTTCCGGATCTCGGTCATCGGCCAGGCTCGTCTGGTGCTAACCTGGTCAGTGAGGCTGTTGCTACTGGAGGCCCTCTGCCCCACACACAGCCTGGTTGATCTGCCACCAGTTTTCTCTTGAAGACCTCTGTACTTGTCCCAGCAGTGTTTCTGATATTTTCTGGTAAGTTGTTGAATAATCTGAGGCCACGAATGTTAATACAAGTTCCCTTATTGTGCCCACCGGATCTGTGCTTGTCACTGGGTGTATTTTGCACTTCCTCCCATATCTCTCACTCCAGTATGTTGTTATGGCAGTGTGCAGATTTGGGACCAGGCCCTCGACTACTTTCCAGGTATATATATTATCATGTATCTCTCTCTCCTTCGCTCGAGTACGTATTCAAGACTTTAAGGCCTTCCCAGTAATTTAAATACTTTACTGGCTCTGTACGGACCGTAAACGATCTCTGTATTTATTCAAGCTCTGATACTTCTCCTGCCTTGAACGGGGCTGTCAACACTATGCAATATTCCAAGTGAGGGAGCACTAGCGATTTGAAGAGTGTCGCCATTGGCATTATTTTCCTTGTTTTGAAGATTCTCAATACCCACCCCATCATTCTCCTGGCTGTCGTGGCCTTTGTCTTATTATGTTCTTTGAACGAAAGGTCAGCAGACATAGTTATTCCCAAGTCTTTCAGTGTTCCTTTCGTTCTATTTGGTGATCGTCTTGTGTTTTGCATACAGTGTTCCTTCTAAGTTCTTCATTCTTTCAATACCTAAGCAGTTGGAACTTTTCACCAATGAACGTCATGTTCTCCACTACCCATTGGAAACACTGCTTATATTTTCCTGTATTTTTTCAGTGTCCTCTACCGTAGTTACTTTCGTGCTTATTTCGGTGTCATTTGCAAATGATGATACAAAACTGTGATGGTGTTTTTATGTATGTTTGCCATGAGGATGAGAAGCAGCAGAGGTGCCAGGACAGTGCCTTGGGGAACTGAACTTGATACCTCGCTGATGCCAGATTTTGCTCTGTTTAATACTACTTTTTGTGTTCTGTGTGTTAGGAACCCAAAAATCCATCTGCATGCCTTCCCGAAGTGCCTATAACCCTCATTTTGTGTACTAACACTCCATGATCTCATTTGTCAGACGCCTTTGCAAAATCTGTGTATATCACATCTGCATTCTGGGTGCCTACCAACGTCTCCGTAATTCTGTCATAGTGGTTCAGCAACTGTAACAAGCATGATCTTCCTGCTCTAAAATCATACTGGTTTGGGTTATGCCGATTGTGTTGTTCCACGAAATTTGTAACCTGCCGTCTCATCACTCTTTCGAAGATTTTTGTGATGTGGGAAGTTAGGGCTACTGGTCTGTAATTTTTAGCTAGTGCTCTACTACCTCCCTTATGCAATGGAGCTATGTCTGCACTCTTTAAGGTCTCCGGTATTTCACCTATTATTATTATTATAATCAAAAAGAAGCGCTAAGCCAGGTATTTCACCTAGATCTAAGCCTTTCCCCAGAGAATACTGAGGGCTTGTGCTAGTGGCACTTTTCACTTTTTGTAAACATTGTATTCCATGAATCTGGTTCAGGTGCTGAGTGGCCATGTTATCCATTTCTTTTTTGAAATCTGTGGGACAAGTACTAATGTTAGTTACGCAGTCTGCGCGGCCTTCTGCTGGAGTGAAAAATGTTTCTACACTTTCTACCTTGCTGTCATTTAGTGGGTTGCTGAACACCAACTCATTCTTTTCTTTTAGAATTTCACTCATTTCTTGTTCATTGTCAGTATACGGATCTCCTCTCATTAATGGTCCACTTCTACAGATAGTTCTTAGTTTGGATTTTGCAATATTCTGTATGGTCTTTACGTTCTATTTGTACTTTTTCTGTTTGGTATGACATCCTAAGTTTTCTCTGTAATTCAGTGATATTCTCTTCGTTGCGACGTGTTTATGTTTTTTAAGTAATTTAGTAACCCGTTTTTTTTCTTTTATACCATCTCGTACACACTCTCTATATTAGATCTCCTGGGTTTCCTCAGTGGTACGTATTTAATACAGGCCTTGTATACTTCTATATTCGGTTCTCCAGACACTGGTGAGGATTTAGGGTGCTCATGTCTGATTCCTGTGATATGTCTGATAGATCTTAGTTTATTTTTTCCCAGTCAGTTCTTTGATTGTTGAAATTAAACTTACTGAAGATCCCGTCTCTTACATTAGTGATACACTTCCCTCGTTTGTACTTCTATGATGTTGTGGTCAGAGTATATTATTTTTGTAACTGTTATGCCTCTGATTAATTCCTCATTGTTTGTGAATACTAAATCTTTTCATTTCTAGTAGGATCGTTATCTGTTGATTCAGTGAGTGCTTTTCATAAAGCTCATTAGTTCCCTGGTATACATTTGTTTGCCAGGGAGCTCAACAAATGTATACCAAGGAGTTTCTGGTATAACGTTGTGTTGAACCATCTTCCATTTTTACATGTGGGAAATTAAAATCTCCAAGGCAATTGATTTTTTTTTTCCTAGAAATTTGAAGTATTATTGATGGTGATTACTTACATGTCGTTTTGAAAATCACTTGTTAAATTAACTTAAAGGTCGTAGGTTACAAGGTTAGTTGGCTAATGAGGGTTGAAAGGTCATCGACAACACGAGGCTCATTAAGGTTGCAAGGTAACCTTTTCAGCACCAGAACACCAAGCAAACACTTTATTTCTTTCTGCAAATCCAGGATATAGGTCAGTAAGCCTATAATAATTATTGAAATCCCAATTTGTTATATAAATTCTTTAGATTAAAGCTTGATCAAGTTTTAATCCTGACAACGACAACAAATTTAACATCACCAAAACACATTATTAATTGTTATATAATCCATGTTACTAATACATTTTCTGTTAGTTTAACATTATAAATACTCAAATATTGAAAGACACAGCGTCACACTAAACACTGCAGTAGTAACCTCTTTAATTAACAAACAGCACACGTTATTAACTGTTACCTTTAAAAGATAACAGAAAACAACAGGAGTCAAGAGAATTTTCCTACAGCCGCCGGAGGAAAAAAAAAAATTTACGTTTTTTCTTTCGGGTGACACCAGTCGACTCAGGGCCAGACGAGACACCTCTGTACCGCATACAAAGTGAAATCTTGTATTCTATTTCTGTATTTTACGCATAAGACGCCGAAGTCCTTCCAACTTCTTAGTGGAATAGCTTTGAAGAGGAGATTAATTCTATCGCCACTAATTGAATTTGTTACGGAAGAGATGGGGTCGAGATGGATCACACTGCTCTTGGGGAATGGGACGTAATCAGGTTTAATTTATGAAAAGGAAGGATTAGGTTAGGTTCCTTGGATCGAAACCCCTTAATGGGGCTAGTAAAAGCGAGTGACAATTGTCTTTTCAGGTCCCACTTGGTAGAAAGATGTATCCATTTTTTTTAATATATAAATAACCCGCATATAGGAGAGAGAAGCTTATAATGACGTTTCGGTCCGACTTATACCATTTACAAAATCTTTGTAAATGGTCCAAGTCGGACCGAAACGTCGTCGTAAGCTCCTCTCGCCTACGTTCGGGTTGTTTGTGTATTGTTCCAGTCACGGTATTGTGTCCTTGTGTTCTTCTACATACAATAAATTGGCCTTCATTTTTATTTATCCGTAACAATAAGGGACTGAAGTAATTCTCAGTGAATATTCCCCAGTGAATATCCCAGAATATACTTTGTGAAAACATATATTCTCTTGTTTCTACAATTAACACTTTTTTTTAACTTAGCAGATTGTATATATTAGCAGTGTTTTGTTGCCCTATTCAATACGACAGTTACACAGTAGGAACAAAAACTGTTTCTCTGCCATATTCCATCCTACAGGATGGGGATCATACGAAGTGTTGAAATCTGTCAGCCTAAGCTAAGAGACACTGACAGCATTAGAACTTAAGTCTTTCAACCAAGTATTTGTTTATATCATCAATGTCTGTCTTTATGTATCAAATTTCTTTTGACTTGTTCTGCTGGATGTCTTAAATACAGCTGGCTGTGTCCGGAGCATCTCCGTGTTCCCACCTCCATTTATAGTCTCAAAAATCTACTTCATCTGAATTGTCCCAGGTTTACTGTGGCTATACCTTATCAGGAAGTCATAGGCTATATCCTCACCATGTATTGCGGGGGTTACAGGTTATGGTGGTACCCACAAGATCTGCATGATGACGCGTACAGTTTTGTCGGTGTCAGTCCTGTGTCTGAAGGCGCCACTAGGTCATAACAGTACGTATGTGTCTTCCACACACATCGTAGGAGCTGACACGCACACACACATACACACATTCAACATTTCCATTCCTTGCAGCAGCGTCCCTTCACAGCTTGTAGCACACAGCCGGGGTGAGGTCGAGGGAAAATGCTACACGGTTCAACGTTACGACGGATGTTTCCAGCTATGCAGGAGAAGAAGACGCAAGAGTCCTGAGAGTCTTCCCACATACGTCCGTGATCCCACCGTCTTCCCTTGCTGTCCACACATCCGCTGCAATGATTAAACTTGATTAACAACGTCACGGTCAAACGCAAAAAAAAAATTACATTGTACGAGAAACAATTTACAAGGAAATCACAAACTGGAAATGGAAACTAAACAACGTTTCAGTCTATTATTTATCATTATTATGTCACTGGTGATTTGATAATGATCCAGGAACGACTGAAAATTGTGAATTATTCCAGCCACAGTGTTATGGGTTAGTTGTTAATTCTTCCAGTAACGGATTTGTGAGTTTGTTGTGAATTACTCCAGTAACGGCACTGTGAGTTAGCTGGGGATTATTCAAGCTATGGTATTATGGATTAGTTTTTAATTCTTCCAGTAACGGTTTAGTGAGTTTGTTGTGTATTATTCCAGCCAAAACATTGTGAGTTAGCTGTGGATTCTTCAGCAGAAACAACTTGCCCACTATGAGCACCACAACTCACGGACATTGCCAGATCTTGCAGCACTGCTGTGGGTCAGGCACCAGCTTGCAGGAGGGGTCAGGCTGCTCCTCTCTCTCGCACTTCTTGGCACTGCTCAGGATAACGGAGCCTTGACAGCTGTAATACATACATGGATCCAGGGCTGACATCCAAACCTCCCCATCCCTGTATCTTACACCGGCACCGTCCACACACACACTGCAACCAGGTGCTATTATTATTATTATTATTATTATTATTATTAAATAAAGCGCTAAACGCAACCAGGTGGTAAAAGTCAATACAGACAAAATTTTAATAAATGATATTTTCTGGTTTAGAATTTCTACACGAATAATAATAATAATAATAATAATAATAATAATAATAATAATAATAATAATAATGCTAAGGGTGTGAATAGATTGAAATCTTACCTATCCATTCCTTCCACTGTCTGCAGTATAAGGGTGGCCTGTGTATGCGACTGAAGAAGCCTGCTGTGCAGGCGATACTTTGCGGCAGTAAAAATACCCAGGTGTTGCACATGTGTCGTATTCGTCGAAATTTTTTGGAAAGCGAAAAGTTGAAAGATATAAACCATACCCCCGGCCGGGATTGAACCCGCGGTCAGAGTGTCTCAAAACTCCAGCCCTAACGCGACGGGCTGGAGTTTTGAGACTCTATGACCGCGGGTTCAATCCCGGCCGGGGGTATGGTTTATTTGCAATCGTGTCATTATGATTTCTTAAGTCATAATGAAAGATATCTTTTCCGATAATGCCATGATGATGAGAAATATTGATGAAGTGCTGTAAAGATGAGAAATACTGATGATGTGCTGTGGGAATGAGAAATATTGATAATTCGCCGTGAGGATGAGAAATATTGTTGATGTGCCGTATACCTATGGCCAAATGCAAATCTGAATGACATCCTTACCAAACTGCATTCTCTAAACTGACCTGACCTTTAAGTTCACTACAGAAAGGTAAGGTGAGGCAAGTCTATTCACTGTCTCACACTCTCTCCCTGTAAAGCTCGACCACTGAGCCGAAATTGGCAGCAGTCAGTTATGAATATTACCGTATTCTGGGAAACGCTGAGCCCGTGAGGGTCATTTAGCGCAGAGTTTGGCGTTCGATACTCCGTCTGCTCAGTGTGAAACAGACACTACCTAACTGTACTTTGTTAGCGATAACGAAAAGTGGATTATTATTATTGCTGTAATTATTATTATAGTTATTATTATTATTATTAATAGTAGTAGTAGCAGTAGTAGTAATAGTAGTAGTAGTAGTAGTAGTAGTAGTAGTAGAAGTAGAAGTAGTAATAATAGTAGTAGTAGTAGTGGTAGCAGCATTAGTAGTAGTTATAGTAGTAGTAGTGGTAGTAGCACTAGTATTATTATTTTAAGTAGGAGTAATAGTGAAATAAAAATGGGGAGTGCTAAACTCATATGGGTCACTCACCGCCTGGAGAATATGTAGGCAGCTACAATTCCTTGACACAAAAAACCCTACAAGAAAAATTTAAATAAAACTTGGGCAAGAATGTACTGGCTTACCCAGGCTGCTGTGGTACTGTCGTAGTCAGTGGTACTGTCGTAGTCAGTGGTACTGTCTGCAGCAGTGGATTGCCTTTCAACCTTTGCACCAACGTGTCTCTGTTGAAGAAGGAGATGCAGTCGCAACATACAAAAAAACTGTTTTTAGGGTACCTGTAGAGTAGTAATAATTTATCGAAGGGTCCAGTACCGTGTAGTGATCCTCTGTTGTTTTGAAAGGGGTGTTAAAACCTTGTTTCCTGTTGAGGTTTATAGGGGCCCCTAACAGTTTACGCCATACCGAGCTCTTAAACCTTGCTAGGTTGGGACGGACAACAGATATTGAACTATTGATCAACTCATTACCTGACACCAGCCCGTGGCAGGGGACACTTGCTTCCTGACGAATATGCCACTACTAAAACAAACTCATTTAGCAAATTCACGCTGTCTGACAGTTTTTAAGGAATATAATCATACATAATAACACACATTTTTTTGTTAATTTTCTGTTTGTTGCTTTTATTATAGCAGAATACAACGCGCACTAAAGGTTGGTGTGTAGTCACACGTGTGGTACCGAGGGATTTACTGAAATAAAGTTTCGGTCGTGGGATCTGTCCCATGACACAAGCGTCACCTCGTCAAATATCACAGTACGATGAAAATAATATAAACTATCGACAAGTTGAAGAATAAGACATATGTGCAACAACTGGGTCTCTTTACTGTTGAATGAAAAGTTTCGGTAGGCGAGACGCAGAGGCAGCAGGCGTGGTAGCATTTCAATCAACATTTAAAAATACTCAATTTGTGCACAGGTGTCTTACTCTTTACATATCTCAGTACCTCATAGATATTCGTATGAAATACCACGTAGAGGCTGATATACACTCACATGTTACAAAGATACAGAACGAAATCATTTCACAAAATATATTTGAATTGTGTGGTCCCGTGGACTAGAGCGTCATCTGTCCTTCGCTCACCATGAGGCGGGTCCAAGCAGCATGGGTTTGACTCCTTGGCTAGTCGCAGTGTTGTTATTGATCAATACCACTCGTTCGTGGTTAGAATAATCAAAATATGTATTTTTTTTTAATTTAATGAAGTCTGGAGAGTGGTGAGGAAATGCTAATCCCGCTGGGGTTACAGCTCTCAGGTTCGATGCAGGCAAAGGGAGGATAAGGCAAATTTTCTGGATCAAGAGCCGTCGAGAGTTTTACCGGGTGAAGAGAAAATGAGAACGCGGTAGAGACGGTAATTTGTGACCAGCTACCAAAAGATACCGAAAACTGACCTTCACATGCGTGCTGGGCATCCAAATATTTTTGTGTTGCGGGTGAAACATAACCTTAATAATAATAATAATAATAATAATAATAATAATAATAATAATAATAATAATTTAAAATAATAATAATTTAAAATAATAATAATTTAAAATAATAATAATAATAATAATAATAATAATAATAATAATAATAATAATAATAATAATAATAATAATATCACAGTAAACAGGTGATATCACAATAGGTAAAACAACTACTGAAAAAAGTGAAATTCCAAGGTCCTTGATAATGTAAAAAATCACGAAAGCACTTGAATTAGCAAGAACTCATTCAAAAGTAAGACCTTTCTAAAATATATATAATATGTTTGTTTTATTTATGTTATTGTAAAAATTAATAATTTTTTGCCCAAAAAAAATTAGAAAATTAATCTAACCTTATTATAACAAACGCAATTTAATTTAGCCTAATCCATCTAAATACATTTTAGGTAAGTTTACACCAATTTAATAATAAACACAATGAAATACATTTTTATCGTTAGGCTCAGAATGATTTTTGCGAAATTATTGCATACGCAAATTTTCGCTTGTCTTATTCGGCAAGAAGAGCGAGAGAGAAAGGGAGAGAGAGAGAGAGAGAGAGAGAGAGAGAGAGAGAGAGAGAGAGAGAGAGAGAGAGAGAGAGAGAGATAATATGGCAAGAGACTGATATATTCCAGGGCTCATTATCACGCCAGCAGCCATAGACTGCAAGATCAATATTCCACTAAGTGTTTCTCGCACAAAATATAGGTGGATGAACAATGTTTGCCAACTCTGTCTTCAACTCATCACTAGTCAGTTCTTTCGTTTGTCATTAATTCGAACTCAAGGCATAGAGAGTACATAGTCCTCTCGCCACACCTACAGAGAAACGATATTTATGATGTAAATTATTTAGAAAAGCGACAAGTTGAAGATTTTTGCAACATTTTGGAAACTCATCGACTCAAGTCTGAAGGACTGATTACCTCAAACTCCTCATCTTCCACCATTCCTCTCTGTACCAGACTGAGGAAGCCACTTGGCGAAACGTTTCCACAATAGTGTCTAATTCTTCATATTTATCTAATCCGGAACACAGGTTATCTCTCTTAACACATTGTTACTAGTGAAGGGCTCTTCATGCAGGGAATTGGAGCTACACTTCCTTGTATCAAACATACTTACCTTTCCCAAGTCATTATGATATCCATGGGTTTAGCGCTTCCCTATGAATATCCAAACAATATCTCTATGAACAGAAGTCAGGTTAGGTAAGATTTGTCAGGAAACGGGACAAGTGTTTCCTGACGGGGGTCTAAGTCATATGATAACCCGTAGCTGGAGCTTTTGGTCATCTGACCGAGGCCTTCCACTGGCTTACCCCTCCACCCCCTTTTAAAAATCATTGCTATGATTATGATCATTTCATATTCCTCTCTATTAACAGAGTTAAACGCTATTGACTAATCTATGAACAACAACACTCTATATCCGCTACAAATCTCATTACCATTATCATCAATCACAAAATTCCGAGTGCTAATAACACTTTGTGGCACACCAAATCACCATTTGACAAGGTGTGATGCATAGATGTTTCTGTTACAAAACAAAGCCTGCTGTAGGGAAGCTATTTCACAATGTTAATCTAAAACTCTCTCACACATGATCCCAAGTAGCTCCCTTCTTTGTATAGGACTAATTAAGTCACTCTGTGGCTTCATTAGTCTTATACAAAGATACCCAAGTGTTGTATATGTGTCTAATTGATCAACTTTTCGGTTCTCTGAACCATTTATCTATAGTCTTCGATTGTATTGAAGTTAGTGTAATCTTCGTTAGTATTGTAGTTAGTGTAGTCTTTGTTAATATAGTACTGAAGTTAGTCTAGTCTTCGTTTGTACTGAAGTTAGTGTAGTCTTCGTAAATATTGTAGTTAGTGTAGTCTTTGTTAGTATAGTATTGAAGTTAATGTAGTCATCGTTTGTATTGTTAATAGAAAACAATTGTTTTCCCCACGTCGGGTCACCTGGTGGACAAAACCAGGGCTGGGATTAATACGTCGGCGAATCAAACTGGAACTGGAATTGCCATCAGTATCTTCTTGTTATTGAGACCGCGGTGAATACAATGTTTGCATTGTAATAACACTTATGGTGAGGTGTTATTACCATTAAACCTACTACTGCAAATTCTTTCACTCCTACTATTACTACTACTACTACAATATTTACAGTTACTTCTACAACTATTACTACTAACACTATTATTGCTGCTACTATCTCATTACTGCTACTGCCATCGATGCTACCTTTATTACTACGACTACTACTACCACTAAATCTACATTCACTACCATCAATACTTCTTCTACCACTACTACTATTTTTGCTATTGCTACTACTACTACTACTTCACTCCCTTCTTCCCTAACCCGTAATGTATTGTCTACGGGTCTTCTCTACATTTCTCGCCCCAGTCGTGACTTGACAATGATCTAGGACAAACCTGAACGCCATCATGAGGATCCTAAGTACATTGTCTTGGTGCATTGAAACACCCATAATTTATAACTAATTACGCGATTATAAATGCAGGGAGACCACGACCCAAATTGTTGTGAGGTGACTGCTAGTCACATAAGATTCGTCAGAAAACAGGATATATATATATATATATATATATATATATATAATTAATATATAATATATATATATATATTATATATATATATATATTGCTGACCAATTTTACCTATTCGGCACACACACTCACACACACACACACACACACACACACACACACACACACACACACACACATACACACACACACACACACACACATAATATTGTATATATATATAATATATATATATAATATATATATATATATATATATATATATTATATATATATATATATATATATATATATAATATATATATATATATATATATATAAAAACATGTAACAGAGAAGTCCCTTAGGACCCTCTAATGTACATGTTTCAAAACGATGAACCCAATTTCGGTATATATACTTTGAAATTGGGTCCATTATTTTAAAACACAGCGTAGGTTCATCTAGGATTGTGGGCCATCACAAGCATGCTGCCCACACCTAATCCTTGGTAATTAATTAACGTGTTAACCTTCTGAATGTCATAATCCGAAGCTGGTGTATGAGATTACAGGTTACTGTGTTGACAAATACAGGTACAAGATAATGTCAGCAGGAATAAATACCTTATGAATGCGTTATTAATGAAAGACGCTCATACACATTTGCTTGTATTATTGTAATTATTATTATAATTATTTTATTATTATAATAATAATTATTATAATAATTATCATTATTGTAAAAATTATTATAATATTATTATTATTACTATTTTTATTATTATTATTATTATTATTGTTTTTATTATATTTACGAGGAAGCGCTAAGCAATAATGGGTCATGCATCGCTCGGGGGATGGGAGGTAATCACGTTTGCATATTACGAGATGACAGACGTCACTCACGCCAGCCAGTGCAGGACCTTGTTGATGTAATAGCTCTCTCTCTCTCTCTCTCTCTCTCTCTCTCTCTCTCTCTCTCTCTTTTGGAAAAAATTTTGCCTTTCTTAAATGCCCAATGGGTAGTTAACTATTCCTAACACTGAACAGACCACGTGGTTAGCTATTGTTAACCCGCGTAGATAACACACTTCTGTGGATGGTCGGCAGCTTAACGTAGACATATAGATACAAGACCATCAGCTGATTGAACACGTGACTGAACACGTGACTGAACACGTGACTGAACACATGACTGAACACATGACTGAACACATGACTGAACACATGACTGAACACATGACTGAACACATGACTGAACACATGATCGCTCTAAAACCCCAGAAAGGGACCGAAATATACAAATTAATTAATGTTTTGCGTTTCTGTCTCCACGTATTCATGATAATTGATAATTATTATAGGCATATCAACGAGAAATTTACGACAAACCATACCACGGGCGGGGTTTGAACTCGCGATCAGTCTCAAAACTCCAGACTGTCGCGTTAGCCACTGGAACTGCCAGACTCCTGACTGTCTTGAAGAGGGAACTGGACAGATACCTAAAATCACTGGCTCACCCAACGAGCTGTGTTTCGTATGTTGGATTGAGTACGGCCAGCGGTAACAGCCTGGGTGATCAGGCTCTGATCCACCGGGAGGCTTGGCCAAGGACTGGACCGCGGGGACGTTGACCCCCGGAACGACCTGCAGGTAGATTCCAGGTCGACTTCCAGTCTTAGCACCAGAATGTTCAAATGCCTAGTTTTTAAATTAATTTGCGTTTGTTTTCGCCACAAAACAAGAATCTCTTCTTGTAAATATAATTAGGTAAAAAATGTCGTACATGGGTATCAAAATGATATGTATGACGTTAAGATTGATCAGTGAAGAAGGACATTGTTTATGCTGAAGAGTCAGTATGGAAGTGTTTTCCAAGGAATCGAGGCGGTAAGGGAGCGAAAAACTGTAAATTCACGTATTTGTGGTCACAGTGGTGGCCCATGCTAACCTCCCTATGGTGTATAGAAATATACCTAGTAGGATGAATTTTATTAGAGCCAGCTGGCACAGTGGTTAACGCACTGCCCTGTGAGTTTTAAGAATCACTTGCCTTCTCCCCCCCGTTCCCTGATTTGTTTGATATTGTGTTATTACGATTTCGTAAGACAACTCAAGGAAAATATTCCACAAGTAGTTACTCAATTTGGCCTTCGAAACTCAATTTTGTATTTCTTCAGGAAACTTAAATTTATATATATATTCTTAGCAACTACGAGTTGAAAACAATAGCTAAATAATTTAAAGTTCTAGCAATATTATCCTTAGGTTAGGTAAGGTAAGGCGTGTCAGGAAACAGGACAAGTATTTCCTGACGCGGGTCTTAGTCATATGATGACTCGCCACTGGAGCTTTTGGTCATCTGACCGAGGCCTTCCACTGGCCTACCCTTCCACCCCTTTAATAATTAAGGTTATAGTTATAACCATAGTATAGTCAAGTGACTCGCAATACTTACTGACAGTCCCACTCAGGACAACATATTCCAGGCCTCGCCACCTGCTTGCAGTTTTTTCCAGGCGACGGTGGACATTCCAGACACACAAAATACACTTGGCTGTTATGACACTGCTTATGGACGCAGTTGTCTCCAGGTATCTCCCACTCGTACCCGTCTTCGTAGATCTTACCATCCACATCCACACAAAAACTGGAAGGCAAAGAAAGTGAAAGATTAGAACATGACGAATTCTTTACTGACTAGATGGATGATTGCCAAGAATCTCTAATCAATATTTATCAAGGTTCAAACGAAATTACTTTTCTCGCATTGAAAGTTCGAGTGGTAGAAATGTTCTTTGGCTTCTGTAGCCGAGAACAGAATAAGATTATGAAAAGTTGAGAAAATTAAACACAGAATAAAGAGAGACGGAGATACAAAAGGGCTAAAGGAAGTATAGTCAAAGTTTGTATAATAAATCTGTTATTGTCAAAAAGTCAAAGAATGATTCTATGTCCAAGGCGGGGCCGTCAGCGAGGAGGGAAGATAAAGTAAGGGTGTTAGAGCCGTGACGACGTCGGAGGTAAATTCTGCGTGGTCGCTGGTAGACAGGACGGTCCTATACTCAAATTACCTTAGTCGAATATATCCTCAGCCTAATTTATTAGATAAGTAAGACACATGTGCAACAGTTAGGTAACTTTATTCCGAAACTTTTTGCCTACATAGTAGGCTTCTTCAGTCGAGTACTGAAGAAGCCTACTGTGTAGGCGAAACGTTTCAGAATAAAGGTACCTAACTATTGCACATATGTCTTACTTATCAACCTGTCGGTATTGTATACCACTGTCATATTCACTGATCCATTAGACCAACACTGATGGGTCTGCAATATTCAAAGAGCCTACGCAGTATGTTAGGTAAATGGACACAGATGCAACTAATTTGACATTTTTAATGTGGCAACGTTTCGCTCTCCACGAGCTTTATACATCTATCTAAAATAATACAAAAATGAGGAAGGATATGGTGCATATAAAACATAAGACATACGCTGTAATTAAGCCATCGCTGGCTGGTCAGCCATGGGATTAAGTCCCACAAAAGATATATTACTGTAAGTCAAACCCAGCTTATCCGTCGAGAATATTTACTAAATGAAAAATATCGTGAACTCTGGTAGTAAAGTTAAGTTATATATAAATGAGACGAAAAAAATAAAACATTAATGGTGCACCAAGCACAGTGAGAGGCATTTATATACCTGAACCAGTGATCGTAACCTGCCACAGGTACACCTGTGATCTTAACCTGACACTGGTACGCCTGTGATCTTAACCTGACACTGGTACACCTGTGATCTTAACCTGACACTGGTACACAAGTGATCTTAACCTGCCACTGGTACACCTGTGATCTTAACCTGCTACTGGTACACCTGTGATCTTAACCTGACACTGGTACACCTGTGATCTTAACCTGACACTGGTACACCTGTGATCTTAACCTGACACTGGTACACCTGTGATCTTAACCTGACACTGGTACACAAGTGATCTTAACCTGACACTGGTACACCTGTGATCTTAACCTGACACTGGTACACAAGTGATCTTAACCTGACACTGGTACACCTGTGATCTTAACCTGACACTGGTACACCTGTGATCTTAACCTGACACTGGTACACCTGTGATCTTAACCTGACACTGGTACACCTGTGATCTTAACCTGACACTGGTACACCTGTGATCTTAACCTGACACTGGTACACAAGTGACCTTAACCTGCCACTGGTACACAAGTGACCTTAACCTGCCACTGGTACACATTGCTCAGTTAATAAAAGCGAATTTCAAAGCAAAATTTAATGAAAACGAAATTCAAAGAAAATCTAGACATGATTGTATTTGCTCACCCGGAAGGTTCAGTCGGCAAAAGCGGCATTGTAGTTTGTATTTTCGTTATTGCAGGAACCGGTTGCATTATAACTGGTTTTCGTGCCGTTGTAGTGGTTGGTAACGCGTCTCTGCCGAGGAAAAAATGATTGAGGAGAAAATTAAACATGCAAATGAATTCCATTTTGTGTTTGTTTACAGTGTTTGTTCATTCACGATAACTCATGTTTGTTTATTATTGTTTTATTGTTATTACTGGCATAGTGAGACACAAGACCCTGGATGACGTCTTCAAGACCTGTCTGCCGTTACTGTCAGCGGTTTCTGGAACCTCCAGAACAAGCTTTTCATGTGTATTATTATTATTATTATTATTATTATTATTATTATTATTATTATTATTATTATTACTATTTTTATTATTATTATTATTATTATTATTATTATTATTATTATTATTATTATTATTATTATTATTATTATTGTAGCACACTTCCATCGATGCTCAGCTTTTTTTTCTTAGCGAATCTTGTATAGACATTTCGCTGATATGTTGTAAACATTTTCAGGGGTCGAGACAGACATCAAAAAAACCTTTCAAATTATCCATGGTAGTTGGATCTCCGTTTCCAGTAATACGGTCGTCCTAGATTCTCCACCTTACATGTTTAATTTGTGCTTTGGTAGTTCCAGTTTGATTCTCCGGTATAATATCGGCCCGGGCTTTGTATCTGGTGACCCGGTGTGCTTTGCTAGCAAGTGGCAGTTCAATAGGGAAGCTAAATAAAACGATTGGGGGCTGAAGGCCTCAGTTTACTGGTGAACATGTAATGTTTTGACGTGGAACGCACTGGAACTATAGCAAGACCATGATCACGGCCACAGAACAGCTGAATTAGATCGACATCCCCTTCGAGATCCTCAAGCAGGTTATCTTATTATTGAGATTAATGTCAGGACGCAGTTCCTGACGAATCAAACAAACAAGCTAAATAAAAGCACTAGGAAAAACAGACTCCCAGGTCAAGAAACTAAGAACTTACAAACAATTCCACACAGGACAACACTGTCCTGGGATCATCATCTGCTTGCAGCTCTTCCCAGGCGACGGGGGACATTCCAGGCACATAATATGCACTTGGCTGTTATGACACTGCTTATGGACACAGTTGTTTCCTGGTATCTCCCACTCGTCCCCGTCTTCGTGGATCTTACCGTCCACATCCACACAAAAACTGGAGTGTACAAAGAGGCATTAGACCAATGAACAAGCTTTTACAAGATACAGAGTTTTTCTTATTTCGTGAAGTAGAGGATATAAAGAGAAAACTTTGAGAAGAATATTATACACAGGAGAAAGGGATAGATACACACTAATCTTGAGGTGTTGGTGACAGCTTTGCTGCAGTCGGAGATTCGCCTCCTGCATAGATTCTTAAAGCGAGCTTTCGACTGGCAATCGTAAGATTGGCGCCATTGCTCATATGTCGCCAGTGGTGATAGCTGCAACTCTCTGAACACATTATTTATTTAGTGGGTTTGGGTTTGAGAAAGACCTTCCTAGTATGGGCCAATAGACCTGCTGCAGTGTTCTCTTTTTCTTTGTTCCCCCTTTCGCATGTTCCTCCGCTGGAATATCGTAAAACGTACAAGGAAGGACAAGTCACACAACATGGATTAAGGTGAGCATTTCGGCGAAAAGTGTGAAGAGTACGGAATGTTCTCAGGCTCACTAGGCTGATCAAACATTTTGTTTATGTGTGGGATCCATAAATGCCATGTGAAGGAACTGGAACTCATCGGAGAAGGAATCATCTTAGGATTATAATGAGATGGTCATGAACATCGTCTGAAATATTCTGAGTTGTTTTGATTACTATGCGAGAGACATTTCGCCGAGTACAGAAGAACATTTGCAAATTGCTGTTGTGTGTACGGAGATTCTGGAGACATGGTCAAGGATAAACTGTGGCCGGGTAAATTATTAAGTGATACAATACTTGTAAATTTAATAAAAGAGTCACCTCTAAAGAGCCATCCATCACGAAGCCAACAAACGAAGGCAGTAAATGCACTAACGACCCCAGGGTTGGTGGAGTACACGCAAAAAAACATTACCTGACTAAAAGGGTGTCTGCCCTCGGGTGCTCTCTTGCCCCAAGACAAATAAACGGCTACACCACAGACCGCCGGATGGTGGTATCAACTGGAGAATCAGGGAAGCCAGTGATCCACAAGGCTAGTAGCTACGAAGTAAAACTTGTGAACTGAAAACTTGGCCAGTGAATACATGAGCAGATCAGCACACAACTCACCACTATATCAATGGTATTCAGTACCGACAAGATTATAAGACACTTGTGCAGCTTTTGGGTATCTATTCTTGTAGACGTTTCGCCACCCAGTGGCTTTATCAGTATATGCATAGACAAAATGAGAAAATTGTACAAATATATACAGCAGCCAATGGAAAATGAGATAAAGATAATGTTGCTTACCGAAGGACTGAACCCCAAGGAACAACACAATTTCCAGATGAGAAGAACAGAGGATGATGGTGTCCCTACACAGCACACATAATGCATAAATTAGTGAAGATTTTGCAGACAGGGGTCACCCTGTAGCGTACTATCTAAGGTAACAACGAATACCGAAGTCACTCAAGGTGTCATTGAGTCACTCAAGGAGTCAGTCAGAGAGTCAATCAAGGACTCATTCAGAGAGTCATTCAGGAAGTTGTATCTCGGATACAAAAACTTTATCATCAAGTTTATCCGTCGAGAAAATACAGTATATGCTGGTAACATGTGATGATTTTATATAGCATTGTAAACGAGACACAGAAAATGGCATGAAATGTTAACATCTTACTGACAACAATAGTAATACATGTAATAAAGTTGGTAGAATTACCGACAATATGTGAAGTAAAAGGACACAAGTGCAACTAATGTGACATTTTATTGTGGCAACGTTTCGCTCTCCAGGAGCTTTGTCAAGCCATTATATACCCTCTGTGTCCATGTATTGTTTGTAATGGCTTGACAAAGCTCCTGGAGAGCGAAACGTTGCCACAATAAAATGACACATTAGTTGCACTTGTGTCCTTTTACTTCAGATAGTAATACATGCACATTCCTAAACCGCTGACAAATTGAAGGAAGTGAAATTCAAAGAAAATTGTGACATAAATGAATTTACTTACCTGTGTGGTTTAGCTATTCTTTGTAGTGAAGTTTGTATTGGTGTTACTGAAGGCTGTAGTGGTATTGTAGTTGGCTGTAGTGGTATTGTAGTTGGCTGTAGTGGTATTGTAGTTGGCTGTAGTGGTATTGTAGTTGGCTCTATCGTTATTGTAGTTGATACTGTAACATCACTGTTGAGGAGGAAAATAGTCTCACATTTGCTTATTAATTAATAATATATGTATATATATATATATATATATATATATATATATATATATATATATATATATATATATATATATATATATATTATATTTATATTTATATATATATATATATATATATATATATATAATATATATATATATATATATATATATATATATATATATATATATATATATATATATATATATTGACAGGAAATTTTTTGGTTAATATCTCTTATAAACGAACCAATACACTCTTTTCAGAGATTTTGTTTGCCTTGATCTTTTAAAATTAATGGCAACTGTTTAAATTAAAAACAGAATCTTCATTTTTGAAGGAAATATGTTACTAAATTTTAATCTCAGTATTTTTGCAAATAATTTCATTCATAATATTCTTCATTTACTTATATAGGAAAGTGAAAATTTAAACTTAATATAATACCGCCTTAAGACTACACTTCATATTTTTAAACGTAATTCACTAAATCTCTGTAGATAATTTTTTTTAGGTCTACTCATGGAGTCTTGAGGATATATTTACACCTGCACAGTGTCTGAGCCAGTTGAGCTCCAGCTACAGGGCTTTATGAAACGGTGAGGTGACTTGGATTATCGGATATAGGGAATACCACTCATGGATAATTGAGGTACAGGGTACCAGGGTTGTCGAATATATGGGATACCACTCTCAGATTTCACAGCGACCTGACTTTTTCTATTATTTTTATTTGTGCTTTGCTAGTACGATGAAGCTCAAGACAGGAGGGTAATGAGAGCTTCAGCAGAATAATCCCAAGCCAAGTGATCCATGATACTGACAGCCCCACTGAGGACAACATATCCCAGCCATCATCACCTGTGATACTGACAGTCCCACTGAGGACAACATAACCCAGCCATCACCACCTGTGATACTGACAGTCCCACTGAGGACAACATATCCCAGCCATCACCACCTGTGATACTGACAGCCCCACTGAGGACAACATATCCCAGCTAACATCACTGTGATACTAACAGTCCACTGAGGACAACATATCCAGCCATCACCACCTGTGATACTGACAGTCCCACTGAGGACAACATATCCCAGCCATCATCACCTGTGATACTGACAGTCCCACTGAGGACAACATATCCCAGCCATCATCACCTGTGATACTGACAGTCCCACTGAGGACAACATATCCCAGCCATCACCACCTGTGATACTGACAGCTCCACTGAGGACAACATATCCCAGCTATCATCACCTGTGATATTGACAGTCCCACTGAGGACAACATATCCCAGCTATCATCACTTGTGATACTGACAGTTCCACTGAGGACAACATATCCCAGCCATCACCACCTGTGATACTGACAGTCCCACTGAGGACAACATATCCCAGCCATCACCACTTGTGATATTGACAGTCCCACTGAGGACAACATATCCCAGCCATCATCACCTGTGATACTGACAGTCCCACTGAGGACAACATATCCCAGCCATCATCACCTGTGATACTGACAGTCCCACTGAGGACAACATATCCCAGCCATCATCACCTGTGATACTGACAGTCCCACTGAGGACAACATATCCCAGCTATCATCACCTGTGATACTGACAGCCCACTGAGGACAACATATCCCAGCCATCATCACCTGTGATACTGACAGTCCCACTGAGGACAACATATCCCAGCTATCATCACCTGTGATACTGACAGCCCCACTGAGGACAACATATCCCAGCCATCACCACCTGTGATACTGACAGTCCCACTGAGGACAACATATCCCAACCATCACCACCTGTGATATTGACAGTCCACTGAGGACAGCATATCCCAGCCATCACCACCTGTGATACTGACAGTCCCACTGAGGACAACATATCCCAGCCATCACTATCTATGATACTTACTGACAGTCCCACTGAGGACAACATATCCCAGCCATCACCACTTTTTTGCAGTTCTTCTCAGGTGACGGGGGACACTCCAGTCTTACCATATTTACTCTGCTGTTGTTACACTGCTTATGAACGCAGTTGTTTCCTGGTATCTCCCATTCATCCCCGTCTTCGTGGATCCTGCCATCCACATCAACACAAAAACTGGAAGGGCAAAGAATATCAGAAAAAAAGGAGTATCAGACCTGAGGAAACATCTTATGAGGCCACGAGGAAGGGAAAGGAGCATCAGACCTGAGGTAACCTCTTATCAGGCCACGAGGAAGGGAAAGGAGTATCAGACCTGAGGAAACATTTTATCAGGCCACGAGGAAGGGAAAGGAGCATCAGACCTGAGGTAACATCTTATCAGGCCACGAGGAAGGGAAAGGAGTATCAGACCTGAGGTAACCTCTC